CCGCGGTCGCGGCTTGGGTGTCCCAGGCTCGCCGCAGGTCGTTTTTTTTTTTTTTTTGTCTCTGTCTCTGTCTCTGTCTCTCTCTCTCTCTTTCCCTCTATCTCTCTCTCTCTCTCTCTCCCTCTCTCCCTTTTTTTTTTTTTTCTCTCTCTCTCTCTCTCTCTCTTTCTCTCTCTTTCTCTCTCCGAGCGAGTCGTCGTCGATCAAGTCCTGGGCAGGGTCCGATCGCCGGCGGTCGGCGCGCTGCGGCTGTCTCGACTAGCGCGGGTCCTGGATCGAGTCTGGGCCTCCTCGCCCTCGCACCTCGGCCCGGCCGCGGGGCCGCCCTGCCAGTGGGGCGGCGAGATCTCAGGTCTTGCGCCCACCAGGAAACAACACCGAAGCTCCGCCCGTAGAATTTTTTGATTGGCGTTCTGTCGCCGAAAGCTGCGCCAGTAGAGTGTCATTACTGAGAGATCTGCCACATCGCTTCTCTTGCCAGATCGTGTCGGGCTGCGTGCTGCTCTTCGTCTGATTACAGTCGGGGCCCTGAAGAAGGAACCCTTTTCGTTGGGGAGGGGCTCCGCGTTCCTGAAGCGTTTCGCAGCTTGCCTCAGGTTTCCCTTTGGTTTTCGGAGGGAAATCGAAGTTCAACTTCTGGAGAAAAAAGGCCTCGTTCCTTATTTAGGGTTCCTTAGGTCAACGCCCCGACTGTAGCGCGTGTATCGAACACCGTGCTCCTGTCTGCGCTGAACACCCAAGAGCCAGTCTTGCGTGGAGTGTGCCCGAGATGAGAGCGCTGGCCCATTGCGAATGTTCTGAGGAAGTGGGGACCTGGACCTGTGTCAGGTCGGGGCCGCGGCGCGGTCTGCCGCGCGCCGCTGGAGCGGGAGGTGCCCGCAGCTCCAATGTTTACGTTTGATCTGCGTGCTGCGTGGGATTGCATGCTCCTGTTCGTGGCGGCCTCACTTGCAGTTTGACGGCCGCGCGGCTAAATGCGTTGCGTGCAGGCATAAAGCTGCACGATTTCCCGTCAGGGCAGCCGAACTTGTCGCGAGTGCTCTCACTCAGGCTATGGAAGGTTTGAGTCGGTCCAGAGTGTATGTTCTTGCCGGCTTACGGCCATGATGTAATGTTATTCAATGTGCGTATGGGTTGTTTTCGAGTGTGCATTGCCACTCTCGGAGCCGAGGCATCATCTCCTGCCATCGCCACCGTCAATTTCTTTAAAACGAATGTTATGGCCGCGGTGACCCGACCTGGCAGAGCAACAATTTTAGTGTGTAATGTGCTGGAGATGGGGAAGAGTGGCCGCACAACCGCAACCGTTATGCTCAAGCTCCCAACCCGCCCGCCCTCGCTTGAGGGTTTTTATTCGGTTTAACACGTTCGTGCTGTTTGCAAATGTACACTGCCAGTTTCGGAGCCTAGGCATCATCTTCTGCCATCGCCACCGCAAGCTTCTTTTAAACAATGTTATGGCCGCGGTGACCCGACCTGGCATCATCATCATCACCACCACCATCATCATCATCACCATCATCATCATCATCATCATCATCATCACCATCATCACCATCATCATCATCATCATCATCATCATCATCATCACCAGCATCATCATCAACATCATCATCATCACCATCATCATCATCATCATCATCATCATCGTCATCATCATCATCATCATCATCATCATCATCATCATCATCATCATCATCATCATCATCATCATCATCATCATCATCATCATCATCCCCCTCGTCCTCCTCCTCCCCCTCCTCCTCCTCCTCCTCCTTCTCCTCCTCCTCCTCCTTCTCCTCCTCCTCCTCCTCCTCCCGTTCCTCCTCCTCCGCCTCCTCCCCCTCCCCTTCCTCCTCCTCCTCCTCCTCCTCCTCGTCCTTCTCCTCCTCCTCCTTCTCCTCCTCCTCCTGGGCGGGCAGCCGCGGTTATCCTCGGATCCCTCTGCGTCTCTCTGCCGCGTCCGCCCGCGAGGGCCCCCGCGCCTCTCTCTCCCTCTCTGTCGCTCGTCTTTCTGCTTGTTCCAGGTCTGCGGCGGGCACGTCAGAGCGGGATGGGCCAGGCTCGGGAGAGGATACCCAGAGATCCGACGCTCGAGAAGAATTGGAACAGGCGATCTTTGGCCGCTTTCGGCTTCCGGGGGCCCTCGCCGGGCCTCGGGACCGTCAGAAAGCGATTCAGGACGAAAAATCAGCCCTGGGGAAGTGGTCTGAACCTCTGGGGCCCACGCATCGAAAAAACCGGAGCGGCCAGATGTCTGGGGGAAGTTTATGATGTTGCTACCCTTCCCTCGTTTGCCCCTTCTTGGGCCTCCTTGGATGCCCTCGTCGCCACCGCCGCTGGATTCGCCCCGAAGTTCTGGTCAGACCATACCCTGGGAGAGGTCCGTGGAATGGTGGTACCGGCACCTTTTTGTCTCCCCCATTCTCGAGCGCTTTCGAGGGGGAGGAGGAGGAGGAGGAGGAGGAGGAGGAGGAGGAGGAGGAGGAGGTGCAGGGCTCCAGGCTCGAGGTTTTCAGGCGCCGTCGTCGGCTCTCTCCAGCCGCGGGGGGGGGCTACATCCCGCAGCCGCGCCTCGCCCGGAGCTCTCCCCCCGGGGGCCCGGATCGTCCCGACTGGCCGCTGGAGACCCGAGTTTTTAAGTCGGGCCTGCCCCTCTACAGGGGGAGTGTTCAAGAATAGTCAAAACATAGTCAGGGGACGATTTTGTTTAGCATTTGTTGGCTCTTTTGGGGCACTTTTGGACTATGTTTGTTACTTTTCCGCCCAAGCTCCCCCCGCAGGGGGACACGCCCGAAGCCAGAGTGATGGCCCGCAAGCCAGACGACGAGCAGCACCCCGGGGAGTGCGAAGCAGGGGAGGTTGCGCGAAGACTCCTTCGCGCAGCTTGCGTAATTGCGCATGTTTCTGCGTCGGGGGATCGGGAGTTGCCAGCTTCGGAGATCTCATGGTGGAGGAGGAGGAGGAGGAGGAGGAGGAGAAGAAGGAAAAGGATGAGGAAGAGGAGGAGGAGGAGGAGGAGGAGGAGGAGGAGGAGGAGGAGGAGGAGGAGGAGGAGGAGGGGGTGATCAGAGGCTGGTTGGGAGGTTGCGCGAAGACTCCTGCGTGCAGCCTGCGTACTTCGGCCCCGCCAGCAGGCACCCCCATCGACGCGCACGAGCGCCTCAAAAGCGCCCGCAGGCGCCAGGAGAGCCAGCGGCGTGCGGCTCCTTCGCCGACCCCTGTTTCCTGACGCCCCCCCCATCCCCTTCGTCCACCCCGCGCGGCGCAGGGGACGTCAGGGCATCGCTTGGACGTGTGCACTTTTTCTCGGCGAGAGCCATCGAGGAACATCACCATCCTGGACCAGCGAGCGAAAAAAAACACGCACGAAACCGACACATGCACGGGAAGTGGACGTCCACTCGGGCCAAACGAAAGGGATGGATAGGGAAAGGGGGGGGTATGAAATCTGCGGCATGCAGCTGGGTTTCGGCCCCGCCGCCGGGCCCGTTCCTCGATACATGGGCGCCTCCCGGCGCCGGGAGGCGCCAGGAAAATCAGCTGCGTGAGCTGGTTCTCAAACCCCCCCTCTGCTACAGGCCTCGGAAAAAATAGCGAACACTCATGCCACATTCATCCGTGAACGCCTCCCCCTCCCCCCAATGTTCAAAGTTGGCGGTGGGTCTGATGAGTTGCACCTCGACCGCAGTCTCCCCCGCGCGTGCCAACCTTGAGGTTGGGGGGCAGGGGGGGTGTTCACTAATTGTTTCCCTCTACCGTATCCCCCCCTTTCGCCCGGCCCGATCCACCCCGAGGGGTGCAGGGGACGTCAAGTAAGGAAGGGCACTTGTCGGTCGGCGGCGAGGGCGAGCGCCAGCGCGGTGGAGGAGCTGGCGGGGTCGGCGCGGGGCGGGGGCACGCCGGGCAGGAGAAGAGGGGGCCGGCCGCGGGGGGAGAGAACGCGGAGGAGGGCCTCGGGCGTGGAATCTACACCACGAGGAGGAGGAGGAGGAGGAGGAGGAGGAGGAGGAGGCGGAGGAGGCGGAGGAGGAGGAGGAGGAGGAGGAGGAGGAGGAAGGCACCAAAAAACTAGCCTGGCGAAGGACCCAACCACATGCAGCTGCGAGTGCCGAGCAGGAGTGTCGAAGTGGGTGTGGGGGCGGCCATGCGGGCGCAGCCAATCTGGCCTTTGGCGGAGCTTCCTATGGGGTCACGAAGCGTGTGAGGCGTGTGCCGAAATGGGTGGGGGGGAGGCATGCGGGCGTAGCCACTGGGGCCTTCGGTGGAGCTCCCTATGGGGCCACGGGACGCGTGAGGGGTGTGCCGAAATGGGTGGTGGGGAGGCATGCGGGCGCAGCCACTGGGGACTTCGGTGGAGCTTCCCATGGGGCCACAAGACTTGTGAGGGGTGTGCCGAAGCTAATGACGATATGGTGATGATGACGCCGATGATGGTGAACATGATGTTGATGATGACGCCGATGGCCATGATGAATCATGATGATGACGATGATGATGACGCCGATGCTGATGATGCTGATAATGCTGCTGATGATGATGATGATGATGATGATGATGATGATGATGACGATGACGATGGCGATAACGATGACGATCATGATGATGAGTATGATGATGCTGATAATGATGACGATGATGATCGTGATGTCGATGATACTGTGATGACGGCGAAGATGAGGATGATTATGGTGATCGTTATGATGATCATGCTGATGAGCACGATGATGATGATGATGATGATGATGATGGTGATGATGATGATGATGATGATGATGATGATGATGATGATGATGATGATGATGATGATGATGATGATGATGATGATGATGATGATGATGATGATGATGCTGGGAGGAGGGAGGGGGAGGACGACGGAAGGAGAGGAGCGCGCGGCGCTGTCTCTTCAGAACGAAGACCCAACACCAAAGGATGGTTGGGAAACGGGAGGCAGGACGACCACGAAATAAAGGACGGGCGGAAGGCGGGGGCTGCCGAAGGCGATGGCGGACGAGATGAGGGCCAAGGCCGCTCAGAACAGGGACAGGACGCGCGCCCGGTCGCCTCCGCGAGCGGCGGGAGGGAGACAGGGTCAGGGACGCCCGAGGGGAGCCGCATGCCCTGGCGCTTTGGCCGGCGGGCGTCGCGTCCAGGAGGCTTGGCATTCTGTGCCAAGAGTGGAGCCTGTACAGCCAAGACGCTGAAATAAGGAACAGTTCGGATTCGGAGGGAGCTCGATGTTCCTTACGTCCTTCCGTGGTTGTTCCTCTAGCCCTTTAGCCCTTCTCGTGCACCCAGGCTTTTTTGAAGCCACAGAGGGGCTTCGTTCCTTATTCAGCGTTCCTTATTTCAGCAGCCCGACTTTACTCGTTCCGATACAGCTGCTTGTGAGAGCGGTAGTGTAAGTGGGGCACCGCTTCAGGGAAGAGGCACAGTGAGCAGGGGCGCGGAATTTGAGGAGGGGGCGGAGGGTGAGGACAGAGGAGTTGGGGATGAGGATTTCGGAAGAAGAGGAGGAGGAGGAGGAGGAGGAGAAGCAGGGATTGCAGCAGCCGTTGAGGATTCTAATGCCTGCAGCGCCGAGCGCCGCGGAGGAGGAGGAGGAGGACGAAGAAGTGAGGGAACGCGATGAAAGTTGGCGTCAGGCCAGGCTTGGAGGGCAGCTCTTGAGGGGGGCTCCGCTCCTGACGAACTGGGTGGGTCGGATGCCCTCAGCGTCTCTGACCATGGGCTGGCAGTGCGGGAACGACCGATCTTCGCCGACCTCCGTGGGGACGGCATCCACCATGTCAGCGACGAAGGGGAAGCTCGACCACTGCAGCTGTTTTCCAATACAGCTTCAGATTTCCAGGTGGGCTGATCGACGCGAGCAGAGGTATTCTGCCCGCGTCGACGTCGCTATCTCGTGTCATTGGCATTGCTTCCCGGACTTCGGCGCCTTGGCCCACGGCGCGATCGCACTGGAAGCCGCCGAAGTGCGTCACATCAGAGTCTGAGCTTTTTTTCCGGCGCCCCGAAAAGGGGCCGACCTTTTTGGAAACGGGCCGGACCGCTGCGTCCGCGAGGCGCGGCGCAGCTTTCTTGGTGAGAGGCGCCAGCACCACCATGCAGCGCGAGAGGAGACCCCGCGGCTCAGCGCACGTGCGCGCGGCGGTGTGCGGTTGGGGCCGAGCCTGGCCCAGATCGTCTTCGCCACATCTGCGCCGAGGCTCCTCATGGTTGTGAGCTACGTGGGGCCCCAGCCAACATCGCCAACATCGCAACGTTTTGCTGGGAGTGCGGCCACACCTTTGTGACCAGGGCTCTCCCGAGCACTCTGCCGCGCCCTGGTGCCCGACACCGGGCGGGCAGCGCTGCTGCTCGACGGGTGGTTCCGGGCAGCGTGGGATCCTCCAAGTGGCGTTCCTCCAGCCTGATAGGCTGAACACCATCATCATCATCATCATCATCATCATCATCATCATCATCATCATCATCAGCATCATCATCATCCTCATCATCTTCGTAATTTGTCATCCTGTATCTTTTGGGTACAACTTGCAAGCGATGCAGCCGTGCCGCAACGTGTTGGCCGGTTCCCTGGCCTGTCCTTCGTGTGAATGAGGGACATCGGCATCTTGGCCAACCCACGTGCAGGTCTGCTGCTGTTGAAGATCGGCGTCCATTAGATGTGAGAGGTTATGGTGGCTTCCCCGTTGGCTCGTTCCGATTCGCGGTGACTGGGCCCTGCTGCAGTTGCAATTCATTTTCTAATGTTTGGCGAGGCATTGGGAGTCATTCGCTTTGGCCCGTTTTGCACGGTTGTTCTGGTAGCGCCGTCCCTTTCCGCATGGCAAGTGGCCGCATGCGAAGCAATCTTTCGACCCTGTCTAGAACATAGCTTGCCAGCCATCGAAGGCTTACTGTGCAAAGGATATGTGCCTTGCCCGCGTGGCTTCGGTTTCAACTATTCCGTTGGGTACACAATATGACATCGAAGGGATAGTTGTTGCTTTGGCAATGGACGATCTCCAACGAGTGGCTGGCCATTGCCATTCCCGTGAAGGCTACTGTGACGCGCATCATGCGTTTACCTGGGCAGCTTATGGCATGGAACGTGCTGGGACGTGTTGCCTGCCCCCACGGCAGATCATGACGGCACCTACGGATGATGTTATTGTCTGTTGCACATGCAAAAGGAGAGGGACAGAGAGAGAGGTGCAATGCTTGTATTGGTGTGGGCGTCATCATTGTCATAGTTGGCACTGCGGCTTGCGGCCATCGCCGCAGAGGGCGCATCTTCAGAGCATGTGGGCTGGTCTTGTTCCAGGCACCAAGCGTTGCAGCGAGCGGAGCCACGATAGATCGATGCCGTCAGTGCTCTATGAGGGTGGCCATCGCGTTCTCAGACTGCTTCTGCAGTGGAAAAAGCCGAGTGGTTACGACACGCTTCGATGTGCGCCTGGCGACGGCCCAAACATCGAGGAACGCATTCGCTCTCTGGGCTATCGAAGACGCCGTCGGCGCACCACCGCCGTCCCCTGCCGTTTTGGCGCCGCCTGTCTGGCCACGCGCTCGGGCAACGTGGGTTTTCGAATCGTAGGTCGGGGCCAGAAGATGAGTAAGAATCTCGCACGCCAGGCCATGCCGTGTTGAGCCACAGGGGGCGGCGGACAAGGGCGCCTCGTGCGAGCCACTGCCGCCCACTGCTCTTAATAAGCAGGGAAGCGCTGAAATGCACGACTGCTTCAATCGTTACATGGTTGACAAGTCGAGGATGGATGTTGTGCCCACAGGGAGCGGTGACACGGCGACATGCCAGTGGAAAGGCTTCGTCATTCGAGCCGCACAAGCTGACGAGGGATTGGGCCCGTCCATGTCGCTTGTGGACAGGACACAGAGAGGCGGCTGATCGAAGACGCCTCTGACTTACAAGTTGGAACTCAGATTGTTCCATGAACAAGCTCGGTGCTTCACATTGGCGTTCTCGTATGCTCGTGCGATGGTTTGTTTTCTCGGAGCCTTGCAGAACAACCCCAGTCGGCTTGGGGTGAGCCACCAGGCATAAGTACTTGAACGGCCAACGCCTCCGTACCAGCTCCCTGGCGCCCCATCTCGTTCCTCTAGCATCAGCCTCCGCACTCCGTCCCTACCCCCTTGCCCTCACCCCCCCCGTGTCTTCGTCTGGTCCCCCCAGGGCTGCGGCCAGCGTGCGGTTCTCGAAGGACGGGGCGACCGCCGAGGAGAAGGACCACCCGGGCGGCCCCCCCCCCCTCCGCCGGATGTGCGCGACTGGCCAGCTTAGGCGAGGCGCGCTCCGACGACGACGACGACGATGAAGATGCGATGGGATGGAGTGATGGCCTCGTCGTGACGGCCGTGGCGTTGAGGAGAAATGACGAAGCTGGTGCCTATGCTGCCCCGTCGGCCGCGGAGTAAGAAGTCCAAACGGCGCAAGCATCCGACGCCTGGCTCTGTGGGAAGCACCCGTGCAGGATCAGGCGTGTCTGCGCCGGCAGCGCGGTCCGAAGCGCAAGCGACTGTTACACCGAGACTTGTGGCGCTGACGGTGAAGACAATTGTGCGGTGAAGACTACTGTGCCCTCAGCGTGTGGGCGACTGTGGCGACGGCGGCCATGGTCGTGAGTCAGTCATTGCGGTCACCGTTATCCAGTGGCGTGGCCGCGAGAGTTCGCACACCGCGCGCTCGGGCCTGTCGCCTGGGACGCCTGGGAGAGGAGGGGGGATGTGCTGTGGGGGGGAATGTCCAGGACTCTCGGGTTGGGTTCGAGCAGGTGGGGTCGGGGGACCGCGCCGCACGGCCGATGCATCGGCGACGCGGCTCGATGTGGAGCCTGCGTTTCTCCACGCCGCCAGCGCCGACGCATCGCCGACGTCGCCGATGCATCGCCGATGCATCGGCGTTGCGGCGCGATTCTCCATGCCCATCCACTTGGACCTCATGCGGGAGGCCTCCAGAGTGGAGGCGCTGGGGGGCGGCGGGGGAGTGTGGCAGGTGCCGGGGACGGTCCCACCAAATCTGCGGATGTTCGTGCCGCTTTCTGCTTGGAAGGCACGGGCAACCGTCGCAGCAGTGCTGGGCTCGATGCGCCGGAGGCCCCGAGAAGCCCCCCGAGGCTCCCGAAAAGGCGCCCAGGGAGGCCTCCCCATGCCCGTACCAAGACCCCTGCGAGCCTTCGAGGGGCCCTTCAGAGACACCCCCAAAAAAGAAGGAGCCTCCACCGCAAGATGTGAAGGAGAAGAGGAAGGGTTCACAGGGATGGGTCAGAACGATGGAAGGAATACGTAAGGGCGAGGAGAGCGGATTCTACTATTATTCCAGAGAACAACGACGGCGAAAACTTGGACAATCATATACACAGCATTCGTACTCGTGTGGTGTCTCTCCCCGTAACCAGTGTTTGTTCCTCTGTATGTTGCGTGTCTTCCTCGAGAAATTGGGTGGGAGTCCTGGACTTCGCCACGCTCGCGCCGGTGCCCGCTCGCTGGTGCCTCGCGGGCGCCCCGTGTGCCGGGTGGGCGCCCCGAGGTCTTACTCCACGCTCGCGCCCGGGCCCGCTCGCAGGCGCCTCGTGGGCGCCTCGTGCACCCGGGGGGGGGGGCGTCCCGAGGTCTCGTCACGTTCGCGCCCGTGCCCACTCGAGGGCGCCCCTGTGCGCTGGGTGGGTCTCTCTCCAGGTGTCGCCACGTTCGCGCCCGTGCCCGCTCGTTGGCGCCCCTTGGGCGCCGCCCAGCTCACACCGCATTGACTCACACCACATGGCTTGCACGACAAGACCCACGCACCGTAGCTGGCACCACATAGCTCACACGACATACGGTAGAGGGAAACAGTCAGTGAACACCCCCCCTGCCCCCCAAACTCAAAGTTGGCACGCGGGGGGGAGACTGCGGTCGAGGTGCAACTCATCAGACCCACCGCCAACTTTGAACATTGGGGGGAGGGGGAGGCGTTCACAGATGAATGTGGCATGAGTGTTTGCTAATTTTTTCCGAGGCCTGTAGCTCACACCACATAGCTCGCACGACATGTATTACACACATTATCGTTTCAAGCCACCCATCTGCACAGACCTGTGTGTGTAGATCGAATATCATACGCAGCACTGCTTACACGGGACAGCTCACATCACATAGCTTACACCGCATAGCGCACACCTCATAGCTTACACGGCATAGCTTGCACCACCCAGCTCTCGCAGCATAATTTTTCACTGCGCAGCGTTCCCTTCCACGGTGCGATCTCTCTCTCTGTGGGCCCTGCGCTGACTAACACATTTGTTGTTTTTCATAATGCCACATCTACGTATAACGGCGTCGGCGTTCTGGGGGAGGAGGAGGAGGAGGAGGAGGAGGAGGAGGAGGAGGAGGAGGAGGAGGAGGAGGAGGAGGAGGAGGAGGAGGAGGAGGGGGGCCCTAGCAAGGTGCCTCAAGCCTCCATGGGTGGACTGGGGTCCCATGGGACCCTCCAAGAGGACCCCCGGACGGCCCAGTGAGGGTCCAAGAAGGGCCCTGGAGCCCGCCCAGACGGCCCCAGATGACATCCAGACCGCCCGAGAAAGCGGATGATGCCCCTACAGCGAGCGGCTTGAATAAGGAACACTTGCTTTTCCAAAGGGGCTCGGTCGTTCCTGAGGCTTGCATGCGTTATTTACAGTTCCCTATGCGTTGTTTGTTGTTTATCGCTCCTTATGCGTTATTCCTTGGGATAAAAAAGGGGCTTCGTTCCTTATTTATCGTTCCTTAGGTCAGGCCGATGACTGTAAGGCGGCTCTAGGAGGCCCAAGAGGCTCCGGCTCCCAAGAGGCCTCCAAGCGGCGAAAGCTCTTCAGACACATTCGGAAACAAATAATGTGATTCAGGATCTCGCCTCATCGCTTCCGAGGGGCCTCTCAGGCCTCAGGAAGGTCCAAAAAGGCCCACGAGGAGCCCCAGGAGGGTCCAAGATGGTCGACTGGAGCCCCCAAGACCCTTCAAGATGGTTTCGAGACGGCCGAAGATGGCGTCAAGACGGCCCTCGAGACCGCCAAGACGGCCCCAGATAGCCTCCAGACAGCCCCAGAATGGCCCCAGATGGCCCCAAGACGGCGCATGGAGGCCCCCATCAGGCTTCGAATGAGCCTCCGGGAGGCCAGCCTCTTCCAAACACTTGGGGAACATCATCATCCCTTGGCGGTCTCGCCTTTTCGCTCCGGAGGTGTTTCTCGGGCCCCAGATTGGTTCAAGACTGGCCCTAAAGGAACATACAGGAACCCCAGAGAGGCCCAATAGGGTCGGTTGGGGCCACCCCAAACCCTTCACGATGGCTCCGAGAAGGCCGAAGATGGCTTCGAGACGGCCCTCGAGCCCGCCAAGTTTCCCTCAGATGGCCTCTAGACGGCCCCAGACAGCTCCAGATTCTAAGAGGCCCTCAGGAGGCCCAAATCCTTCACTCCCGACGGCCCGTCCGAGCCCCCGACACGTAGCAGGCCTGATGTTCCCAGGTCTCTGGGAACATCAATCGACGGCACGACGACCAACATACAGATGATGATCATCACGACGATTGTTTAACTAATGATCTGTCGGATGCAGATGGTGCTGATGGTGATACTGAATGGTGGTGGTGATGATGATTGTGACGATGTTGATGGCCATGATAGCTATATTGTTGGTGGTGATGATGGTGATGTTGGTGATGGTGACGGAGGCGATGATGACGATGGCCATCATGGTCAGGATGTTGTTGACGATGATAATGATGATGACGATGATGCTGCTGATGATGATGGCGATTATGATGATGCTGATAATGATGGTGCTGATGATGATGCTGTTGCTGGTGCTGATGAGGATGCTGATGATGATAAAGATACTGGAAATGATGATGCTGACGCTGACGGTGACGATGATGCTGAGGATGAGGATGAGGATGCTGATGGTGATTGTGATGATGATTGTGATGGTGATGGTGATGGTGATGTTGATGATGATGATGATGATGATGATGATGATGATGATGATGATGGGGATGATGATGATGATGATGGGGATGATGATGATGATGATGATGATGATGATGATGATGATGATGCTGATGATGGGGATGATGATGATGATGATGATGATGATGATGATGATGATGATGATGATGAGTATATCTATGTTGATGTCGTTGCTGCTGATGATTATGATGATGCTGTAGTCCATAGTGCTCATGATGATGATGATGATGATGATGATGATGATGATGATGATGATGATGATGATGATGATGATGATGATGATGATGGTGGTGGTGATGTTGAGGACGACGTCGATGATGAAGACGGCGATGATGACAATGCTGAGGCTACGGATGCTGATGGTAATGGAGACGGTGATGATGATAGTGACGATCATCATCATCAGCAGCATCATCATGACAATGATGATGCTTCTGACTCCTTCTCCACAATCCACCGGCTGTCTCTGAGGCTGCTGGAAAGCCCCCAACTTGCCCGAGAGAGCCCCAAGAGAGCCCCAGAGGCCACCAAGACGGTTCAAGAGCCGTCAAGATCATCCCAAAACGACCCAAGCGATCTCGAAGAGCACAGCCTGACGGCTTCCGAAGGCGTCAGACGGGTCAAAAGTGCCCTGAGACAGCCTGCGAAGTCCCCTCGAGGCCCCAAGGCAGCACCAAGAGGCCCCGAAGAGGCCTCCAAGATGCCCCCAAGAGGCTTCCAAGAGTCCAACGGGACGTTTTGACCATTCAGTGACCACTGGGAAACAGCAGGTTCTGAAGAGCTCCTTTTCCCTCTCGATTCGCCGACCGCTCAGGCCTCCACATGCCCTGCAGACGGCTCAAGGGGCCCCCGAAACGACAGAACGAGTGCCCCGAGACCCCCCCCCCCCAAAAAAACGCCTCCACGGGGGCTCCCCGAGGCGCGCAGGGGGGCCGACGTGCTGGGAAGACTCGCCAGAACCATCGGGCCGACGACGACGATGACGATGTTGATGCTCAGTCTGATGGTGATGATGATGATGATGATGATGATGATGATGATGATGATGATGATGATGATGATGATGATGACGATGGTGATGACGATGATGATGATGGTGATGACGATGATGATGATGATGATGATGATGATGATGATGATGATGATGATGATGATGATGACGATGATGATGATGATGATGATGATGATGACGACGATGATGATGATGAGGATGCTGGGTAAGACGACCACAGTGACGATGTGCA